CCCTTTCTGCTTCAAAGGTAAGAGCTGAGATAATTTTACCACAGCTGCCTGCCTGTGTGAGGGAGCAGTGTCCCAGTTCGTCTTCAAGCTGCATTTGACCAGCTGATTCATCTGTGTTGTGCTAAAGTTCTTGGGCATTTAGGAAGAAATCCTTCTACTCCCGAGAGGTGTTAATTAGAGGCCTAGCCCAGCCAAAGGGCCAGACATGAAGTGTTCTGGGATTTCATGAATCCTTGGGTCAACTTCTAGAGCCTGGACCCTGCCTCAGCCCCGGGAGCCTGTCCTGCTCACTGCCGCTCTGCTGAATTGCCCTCACATTGCTCTGACTGCTTCTGACATTGGATCAATAATTAAAAAGCAGCTAACAGCTATCCTGATGCTGGAAGAACTGGTTCACAGGCACTCTGTTGTTTAGAGTAAATGAAGGGGTGAAATAGCAAAGTTTATCAGCAAGAGGAAGTGCTTTGCACCTGTTTTGTCAATATTCCTTGGAAGTTTTTTTCAGTCCTAAGTGATGGAAAGGACACAGACTACCTATGGTCAAAATGTCCTTGTGTTTGGATTGCCTTCAGGTGGACACCATTTAGCTCTTTTTAAAGTAGAAATTAAAATAGTGAATTTATTCCAGCAGTTTACAGCAAGCAAAAATTCACTGCTTATATCTAGCAGAGCCCTTGAGATGCATTGTTTTCAGCCACTGCACATTGTAAGACTTTAACCCAAAGTCTCAACCTCTTGCTTTCAACAGAGCGTGGCTTCTTTTCAAGCCTTGTTAAGACGGACCCATCAAATATGAAACCATGCGAAGATCTGAAATGAGTCAAAGAAGTAAAGCAGTACTGAATGTCTCACAAACAGATACGTGGATACACAGGACAACTTAAGACCTCTGAGTGTAAATTCCAGGCAAACTTGGGAAGCGCTGAGTGCACAGTCTCTGCTCTTTTCCCTGCTGCTGTTATCCCAGTCTCCTTCACAAGCTGTGACACATTATTTCAGCCATTAACTTCCTCTGCCTCCTTCAGCATCCCTGCTACACTACTTCTCTTTCAGTATTTCCAGCTTTTATGTCATTGTAAATGATCTTCTCAATAGCAACCCCTTTAGAATAAAGTAACTTTTGGCCGATAGCGTGTTCTGATTTAATATCACCTAGACATCAATCAAATCCTTTAGCTCTTAACTGATTTATAGAAGGCCTTCCTTATGAGTAATTAGCTGAGTTCTGATTCCATTTCCTCCGTTATGTGATAAGGAGCCAACCTTTAATTATAGAAGGACAGAAGGCCATCAGCCTAGGATTTTCCAGAATTTAGGCAAGGAGAAAGATGGAGTTTTCCAAAATGTGTTTAGTGGCCAAATGTCCAACCGCCACTGAAAAAAAATTGCATCCGATAAAGGATTCTTCCATACTTCAAAAATATTGCTAAAATTAATATCACTATTTATGTTTTCATTACTACAACATTACATGAAACTGCTGTTTAAAACAGCAGTTAATGTTTAATGCTGTTTAAATATTATGCAATGTAGCTGGTTCCTTTTTAAATAAAGAGAACTGTGCACCATTGAGCAATAATAATGATTTCTGGTCAGCAAGCAGCTTTGAAGTGATCTGTAATTTTCATTTCATTAGGAGGACCACTGCTGTGATTGATTCTAGCAATGTTGTGCTTATATCTGTATTTCTAATCAGAAAATACTTAAAATTTCAACTTACTACTAAATGATGGAGGAATATTTGTTGCATGCTTACAATAACTTACAGTGAAGCAGTGTGATTCTCTCTTCTTCTCTTTGATAAGACACACAAGTAAGCTACACAGCAAGCAAACTACCTTAGAACTTTTTGAAAGCTCCATTTAGCATCAATATCAAAATCAAACTGGACTTGTAAGATGCTAAAGCCACTCTTAAGAAAACGTTGAACATACTCCCACCAGCTTTTTTCTAATCTTTTAAGGCTGCACATAAATATTTTAATAGTATTCCTGAAATCGTTTGTTCTTATTTTCCTATTTTTAAGGAGAGGCCGAGTCAGTTACTATCATTTAGTACTTGCTTCTTATCAGCAGATAAGAGAAGCAGAAGCTTCTCTGCAGTTGTTAAGAGTAAATTTGTCTATTTTGTGGCACAATGTGAGCTGTGTTTGATTGCTAATATGTTTAAATGGAACTTCTAAAGGATGTCTGACTTAAAAGCCAAAATATTAATAACCACCTCAAATACATACGCAGATCACCTGGCAGGATCCTATCTGTTTGGAAATCTAGTCTGAACGTTGTGTGGGATCTGAATATTCAGGACACTAGCTGAGATACCAAACACAGTTTAATATTAACTTGTCTTTCAGAGTTAAACACTGTGAAGCTGGAATAAATAAAGTTTTCCTTGAAATGATTTGTATTTTGCACAAAAACTGTTGCTCCAGGAACATACAGATTTTTCTAAGCAGTGTTAACAAGCTTTCCCAGTTACAGCAGGATGACAACCATCACGTCAGCTGGCCCTGCTTCCTAGCTGGATAAGCAGTATTTGACTACTTGAAAGAATCACCCTTAGGAGTCAATGCTTGTATGCTGAATTTATTATCTAGTCTCCTAAAGGAAGAAGGATAGGGGTGGGGGTGGGGGGGAGGAAATCTATGACCTGATATGTCTTTGAAGTAGTGAAGTGTTTGTGAATCACAACTTTTCAGACATGAAAGGTTTGCTTAGAAGGTCTGAAAAATAATGTATTGCAACTAGAAGTGTTCCAAAGGCTGGTATGAGTGAGTGAAACCTGTCATTTTATTTTTTAGATGTTTGAAAGAATGCCGTAAGCTGTGCTCGTGTTACTTGTGGCAACCTGCTGAGACAGTTAGAGAGATAAGAGAACGCGGTACATAAAAGTACCACGTGTTTCACTTAAATGAACATATTTTTACAATTCAAATTGGGAATTAGTTCTGTATTCTGTCTGCAATATTTAAGTGTTCTATAACTGTATATCTGGAGTTTCCCTTTGGAGGGTATGCATCGTGTCCAGCTGCAGCTTTGGATGAAGACTAGACCACCATCTTCGCCTGAGCATTTTGTTTTTCCTTCTTTTTGCACCAAAATTAAGCAACTGTCACATAAATCCAGGTAGTCTTCAAACTCTCTGGCTGCTTGCATTGGTAAGCAGACCCAGAAACTGGTTCTATTCCCTCAATAAATTTCTCCTGGAGAACTGGTTCATTTCACTGGTTGACTGGTCATCCTGACTCACATTCTTTTTCACCAGCAAATGTAAGAGCAAATTTTGTTTTTCAAAGAGAAGAGTTTTGTGATTAGCATGATAGAGAGGTATTCATCTCTGAAGGCAATCCTTGGATATGTACCAACGAACAGCATACAAAAGAGTTGGCTTAAAAATTCCCTTTTCAAATATCAGATTAAAACAACAACAAAAAAAAGGCTTGTGGTGGTGAACAGAAATGCAAGCCTCACCATGTAATCCAGCCAATATGCTGTCCTTGAAAAGCCTACCTGGAAAGAGATGTGTTGTTACACCCATCAAACTTCCCAAAGCCTGCTCAGTAACAAAACTCTCTCCTCTGTGTTGGACTGACTTGAGCAGATCAGTTTCATTATGATTACAAAATTCCCATGACAAATCTGGGCACTGTAAGTGATGATTCAGAGGCGGAAATTTCAGCAGTTCAGCTACTAAAGCAAGTCAGTCTCTAGGTAGTCTTACTGTGTTGGAAAAATCTATCTATCTATATATTTCCAGTTGTTAATCATAATGAAGACATGGCCCAAACAGCAACAGCTAAAAATAATTTCAGCTGGTATCCAACTAGCAGCAATTAAAATAAAGAATGCAACACACCCAAGAATTACCTTCCACTTCTTTCAAGTCTTTGCTTTCAGGGTGCAGGCTGCAGCACAGCACTGAGGCACCTGGCACATCCCCTTTGCAAGGTTCCTGGGGGACCTCACGGAACTGGTGTCTCCTGCTTCTCCATGGGTGCTGCCTCATCCTCTCCTGGGCCCTCTTGATGTTTTTAATGTGTGTGCACAGCAATATGTGTATGGATACATTGTTCAGCTTGGAGAAGAATGAGTGAAGGCCTCATTGCGGTCTTCAGCTTCCTTACAAAGAGGAGCGCAGGGCAGTGCTGATCTTTGCTTTGATAACAGCGATAGAACATGAGGGAGCGGTGAAGATGTGGCAGGGGAAGGCCAGGCTGCTTAACAGGAAAAGGTTCTTCAGCAGGGGGTGAAGGGCACGGAACAGACTGCTCTGGGCAGCAGCCACCGAGCTGCAGGAGCTCAAGAGGTGTCTGGACAACAGTCTCAAACAGAGCTGGATTTTTGGGATGTCCAGTGAGGAACCAGGGATCGGACTTTATGATCTTTATGCATCTCTTCCAACTGATGATACTCCACGATTCTACATCTAAAATATTCAGCCATGTATGATGCATCGTTGTGAGGAAGAGCACAGGACACAGCAATGCCTGCACCACTTGTCAGTGACACACCAGCTTCTCAAAGAGCTCCTTCACTGCCATGAGACCCACGTGTGGGCCAGCCCGGGGCTGCATGGCCACAGCCCACGGCTGCACCTCACTGCAACAGCTTCCTTCACATCCATCAGTGCCCGCACGGACGGGAACTCGGCAGCACAGCAGGACCACCTTCAGCTTTACAAACTACACTCCTAAACGCAGCGTGTTTATTTTCTACAGCCCGTGCCACACAAGCAGAAACATCCACATCAAATTCAGGCGCGCTGCCCAACGCTGTCGGAGCTCTTTCCGAGCGGCACCGGCACATTTCGCGCCCTCAGGACGCGCACCGAACCGCCGCCACGTCCGCTCCGACCCGCAGGCCGTCCCGCCGCACGGCGCGGCCCGCGGAAACGGAAGCTCCGGGCCGTGCTGTCAGCGGAGGCCGCCGGGAGCGGGGGTGGGGTCGGTTTGAACCGTTGGCCGCTCGGCCGGGCCGGCTCCGCGCGGGTCTTTGCCCGCCGAGGGGGAGCGGGAACCGCCGGCCCGGCCCGACCCGCGCGAGGCCCCTCAGAGCGCGGACTGTGAGGTACGGCCGGCGCAGCGGCGGGAGGGCCGGGCGGGGGGTGGGTGCTGCTGGAGGCAGCGAATGGGAAATGCCGCCGAGTTCAGCGCGGTTAGGGAGCGGTAATCCCTACGGATGGCCGCGGGGCAGCGCGCCCACAGCCGGGTGCTGCTTCAGTGCGGCGCTGGTGAACGCGAGGAGGAAACGGAGCGGGGAAATGGGCTCAAACCTGCGGGGCTGTCCGAGCGGGCCTCGGCGGGCGGTGTGTGCTTTGGGCGGGGCTCTGCCATGAGCCGGCTGTGCCCGAGGCGGGGCGGGACCGCGGCAGTGCTATGGACCACAGATAGCAGTGCTATTGGCAGTGCTATTGACCACAGATAGCAGTGCTGTTGACCACACATAGCAGTGCTACTGACCACAGCAGGGCTATTGACTATGACGGTGTTGCTGACCATGGCAGTGCTGCTAATCATGGCAGCACTATTGACTATAGCAGCTCCATTGACCACAACAATGCTATTGACCACAGCAGTGCTATTGCCCATGGCAGTACTGCTGACCATGGCAGCTCCATTGACCATGGCAGCTCTGTTGTCCACTGCAGCTATATTGACCACAGCAGTGCTACTGACCACAGATAGCAGTGCTATTGACCACAGCAGTGCTACTGACCATGGCAATGTTGCTGACCATAGCAGTGCTGCTAATCATGGCAGCTCTATTGTCCATTGCAGCTCTACTGATCATGGCAGTGCTATGACCATGGAAGTGCTATTGACCACAGCAGTGTTATTGGCCACGGCCGCTCTATTGACCACGCCAGTGCTGTGGGGATGGAGCTGCCCTCCTCCTGCAGTGCTGTGTCTGTAAATGTCCTGACGGCATTTGAGAGTGCCGCTTTGAAGCCTCCTTGGTGCTTTTTGCCTGGTTCTTTCATTTAAAATAATAATAATACATGCTAATTATAGGGAGGAAAGCTGTTATAAACGCAGCTATTGCACAAACCTGTGTAGATGCTGTTTTATACAAATTGCGTGTAATTGAACACCTTTTTGTGTGGTTGGCAAATTTCAAATCTAAGCAAGCATGTTCTCATTGAAAATTTAATTCAACTTCTGTAGTTTGCAAATAATAAAAAAAAAATCCACTTATTTTTGTATGAATTCAATGAAATATTTAGCTTTATTTGTCATATCGTCTCAAAGCATGCCGCATTTTCGCCTAGGACAACTGGAGACAGATCTAGGGTGGTGTTTAACCTTGTCCATTTCAATGTGGGCAATCATACAGGTTGCTGTGTTTTCTGTCAAAATGAATGGAGAAGAGGAAACATGGAAAGAGCTGGATGCCGAATTTGATCGCTGCATTGTGGATGTGAAGCCTCACATACTAAAGCTGCAGCATAGGTCAGGTAAATACGGTAACACTCGTGTGTGGAGAAACACTAATAACAGTATTCTACCTTACTGCTAATTATTAGGTGTATGTGTCTTGCTTTACCAACCAAACTAGGAGCTTGGTGTCTGATGTTATAAGGCATTGTTTTGTGGGGGTTTTGTACAGCTTAGTTGCTTTCTAAGTCCCTGCTGCTACTTTTTGTGCCTTTCTGATACATGTTGGATTTTCCCTGATGCTATTAGAGGTTATACATGTGTCTACCTTTTCAGAACGCCAGAGGTGTGCTCTGTGGGTTAAAAAACTGTGTGAGCCCTCAGGAGCGGGTACAGGAATAGCGGGAAGGAAGAATCGGAACTCATATGCAAAACTTTTGCTCCACATGCTGAAACGAGGAGTGCTAGAAGATCCTTTTACACATGAACCAGAACCAGGAATGCTGAAAACATTACCTTCATACATGGTGAGCGTGACTTTATTGCTTAAATTTATTCTTGAAAATACCTGCAAGTCCTAGATCTGGCATAAAAGCAATTTGAATGAATTGAGTGGTGGTGTGTGTGGTCAGCACTGACTTTTATGTTATATATCGTGTAGCTGATATTTGAAATACCTTTCAGGGAACAAAATCCTTTATCAGAGACTTGTTTCTTCTGAATACAGATTCTAAGGCTTATAAAAATAGGTGTTAAGGAGCAGAAAGATGATACCTGCCTAATTTTTTGAAAGGGTATAATTTTTCTTAAACAGCAGATTGCTCTCTTGCATGGAATATGATGTGCTTAACTCATATGACTCAGTAGTCTTCCTTCCTGGCTTTTGCCATGAACTCCAGCTGTTTAAACTCTGAAAGAAAAGATACTGGTAGGCACATTATCACACATAGGCAGTGTTAAGCTTGTAGTTTGTTTTCAGAAGAATATATGAATATATTCTGAATATAACATGGCATACATCAGCTTTACTTGTGCGTGACCAGTCAAGTTAGCTGTGCTGAAGGAAGTAAAGTGCAGGAAAACATTGAAACATGCAGGCTGTGCTAATTGCCATGTGTGGGGAGGTAATATTTGCACACCTCACTGACTTCATCTGAAAAATAATTTTAATGCAACAGGTATTTGTGTAAGAAACTGTATTAACAGCATAAGGAATGTATTTGTGTAAGTATGTTCCAGTGTTGATTTTGCAGTTATTTCGATTACAGTTAATTTATTTTGATGAACCAAATTCAACAAGAATTCAAAGTAGTAGCCCAGACTACCTGCCTGACTGGGTGATGGGAGAGTTAGGAGAAGGTGGATCCGTGCATGAGGAATTGTGGACTTTATCTTCTAAAGAAGAGTCATCTTCAACAACAGCAGTTACATATGAGTAAGACTTTTATGTTTGCTTAATTCAATATTTGATTCATATGTAATGTGAATGGCAAGCTTTGCATGTTTTAATTTGCATATATGGATTTATTACACTTCCTCATGGACTCATCTGAAATAGTGTTTCTACTTGATGTACAGAAACATCATGAATTTCTTTCAACTTGATCAATTTTCTACTTTTCTGTTGTCTCATTCCTCCGTTATGTCTGCTTCCCATACTCCTGTATGTCTTCTTCCAAGTCTTATAGTTCTGTCTTTTTCCCCTTCCTGTTATGTTTAAATGTTACAAACATTAGAATGTTTTGATTATGCTGTCTACTACAAACACACAGGCTTTGGCAGCTGGTGCTCTATGCCTAGATGCTGCATGTTTGCACTGAGGGTAACAAAGTTTCACTACAGATTGTTTGCAGCTGTACATCAGAATTTGGAGTTATCTGTAGCTGCATCTTATTTTTGCAATCCGCTGTGGATTTGCAAGTACCAGCAAGCTTAAGCTGCATGTTCATTTCATATTATTATTTGGATATAGAGCTCTTCCTCTCCCATCTGATTTACAAAGCAGCTAAAGGGATGAAATATATCAGGTTATTAAGTCTTGGTTTCCTGTTGGCTTTTTGATGTATACACTTACAAAAAGTGTAAGTCATTATCATTAGCTATTAATTTTTTAGGCACGTTGATGTTTGTGCTGTCTTTCAAATTCCTTCTATTGCAATGCCAAGTCTTGAATTTTTAAATGGCTCAGCTGTGATTCATGCAGATTACAGGCACTCTCGCAGGTCATGGCACCTTCATATTGAGTATCTTGAAACTTTTCCTCCTATGTATCCCTCAACGGTGTGCAATTGTAACAATCATCTTAGAAGTTGCTCTTAAAAGTGATTTGTCTCATGATTCCAAGTGCTACGTTAATACTGAGGGGCTTTGTGGTACATCCCTGTGGCGCAGGTGGTTTGGTTGAGAAAAAAAGGAGTAAATCACTGAAGTAACCAGCTGTGTTACCATGTTATTACTTCTGGCTTTGTAATAAGAAGAGCCACTGGGAAGAACTGTCTAAATATTAAAGCAATTAGGCCTAGCCTTATGGGAATAAGGAATACGTTGTGCTTTAGACATGCTCTTTGAGACCTTAACTAAATGTGTGTAGCAAAAATGCTGAGTCCTGGCCTGAAGCAGTGATGGAGCACCTGGTGGGAAGGCAGGGCCAACCTGGGGGAGCTCAAGTGCGTGCAATGAACCTATGTGACCAGAAGGGCTGGAGCCAGGATCCACCCCTTCCCAGCCCTCATTTAAGAGCTGGCAGTGGAGGAACTTTGGAACTCTGACCTCCTTTTCCAGTCTATACCTTAAGATAAGGTTTAGCTTGATCTGGCAAAGTTTCCCTGAGATGTGGTTGGGGTACTGAAGTTTTATTTTGCTTTTTCTTTTTGGTCTTGTGGAACTCCTGCTCTATCTATATTGATTCTTGAGGGTTGGTAAGTTCTGTGGAGGCATGTGTTGCCTATTGAACTGTGGCTAGAGAAGCAAGTAAATGTGGTTGATGAGGTCGTTGGTTCAATGAGTTCTCAAGTGGACTCTGCTTATAGAACTTACATGCAGCTCCATTATCAGAATAAGGAAACTTGAATTGTGTGTGTTGGCAATTAGCAATTTTGATACCTCTGTATATTACATAATTTTTTAATAGAAGTAGAAAACTGTTAGACATGTGACTAACACAGGAAGAAATGCTACTGATTGTCTCAGCTACGGTGTGTCTTGGAGATGGTCTATTTAATGCCTATTTACAAGTGTCTATTTTAAGATATTAGCTATAAATGATGTGAAGATCAAGTTTTTCTTTGCATTTGCAGCTTAGATCTTGCTGTCAGTGCAAGACATAAAGGCACTGGAATATCTGAACTCTGCATCTCTTAATGAGAGCCAGCAGATGGCGATCGTGTCACGTTACGCTTCTGTCTGCCCAAGGATGTGAGGAGAGCTGCATCCGTAGGCGTGTGACATAGTACGATGGAAATGCTGTATTCCAACCGTGACTTAATTCTTACAGATAGACTAAAACATTTTCTCGAGGCAGAACAGATATGACAGTGCTTATGAGTATTTTTTTTTTTTTATATTTGTTTATTCAAGTTTCTTCTAAAGGAAGCAGACAAATGGAGGAGTTTTGTTTGTAGTTACTTCTATCTTGTGAGATGCGTGCTGCTGTGTAGGAAGGTTTTGGCTTTTCTTGATCAGATGCTGTTTATCTGGCTAAATAAGAAGTAGTAGGCAAATCTGACATGGAAACTAGGATGTAAGATCAAACAAGCTGGTGCTAGAAAGGTGCATCTTCACTAAAAAGCATTCTTTCAAGTTTCAGAATGTATTGTTTGGACAAAAATCTGACCTTCCTGGCTCTGTAGGAAAATTGTATTGTATGTTCATAGCACTACAGATTATGCCTGAGAAACACTGTTACAGATAATGTGTGGCTGATGCTGTACAAGAAATAACCAGTGAGTTGCCTTTGCTTTCTTCCTAGTAGCAAGTTTACAAATCTCCTTTATTAACAGCAAATTGCTTCCTTCTTCCATGCTAGTTCATGGTTGTGGTGGAAGCAGGAGTTGTGGGGCTGGTGTCAGGGCTGATAGCTCTGCACCTGCCTGCTGTGGGAGGAGAAAAAGCAATTCTTAAATAACATCCTGTGGTTGCTGGAGCCTGACTTGATAGCAGGAGGATAGAAAAGGGAGTGAACTGAGCAGTGCATGTTTGATATGAGGGAAGCTGCAGACCATCCTTAGTTTTGTTCGTAGTCAAGTAAAGTGGCTTCTTTTTCAGAAAAGCAAATACAGAACTAAGAATATAATTAGACTTTATTTAGTACTTTTTCCTGTTGAAAAGTATTAGAGGTAACTTGTTGGTTTGGATATTTATTAGCCCCTAATCTCACAATAATAGGAGCATAAATTCTGTTCTTTCTAATTTTAAACAACTTGAACTTCATTTAGTTGTTAGGTAACTGAATGTTGTTCAGAAAAATCCATTGATAAAAGGCCAGACTCGCTGGTAGCTAAAGATCTGTCTCCTTACATTGGAAGATAACTTTGTGTAAAATGAAGTCTTGGTAAGATATGAATGAATTGGAATGCTGGAAACAGTCAATGTATTATTATCCCTCTTCTGTGTTTTAACATCTGAGACTTTTCTTATCTAAACTCATCTAGTGTACTGCTTTTAATAGTTATGTTGCATCCATGTATGTTGTTGATACTGATTGTTGCTGGAAGGGAAGGTATGCTTTCAGTTGTTGTATTTCACTGTTTCCTGCTGCTTTGATGAAAGCTGGGGTGCTGTGCTTCTTGAAAAGTTACTCTGTGCATGTCTTCCTAGAAGCAACTTGTTTATATTTTACATACAACAGTTGTCTTTTTCTTCATAAACACTTAATTCATCTCAGTGTCTTTTGGCATAACTTACAGTGTAATTTTCTGCCAGATGGAAAGAATGAAGGGTATTTTAATGATCTGACTTGATTTTAATACTACATAGCTAGTCATAGGAAGGTGGATTTACTAACAGGAGTTTTTAATTATTTTAATGCATGTGGATTTGACACTGGAGGATATACTGGAAGATGTCTTGCTACTGTTTTGGATCTTTTGCTGTATCAACCTATCTAATAAACTCATTTTCTTTTGTTTTATTTTGTCCCGTGCTGCTGTTCTTTTCTTTCACTGTTCTGTAATTGAGAAAGGTTTGTTGTCCAGGTTTGTGAGTGACAGTTGTGTTCGTGTATTTCCTATTTTTAATTCACCTTTTGTTCATATGATTCATACAAAAAACTTTTCCACAAAAAATCTTTGTCCTTTTCAGTACTGGACGGAACATTTTCCTTCTGTTCTTGCACTGTCCTGCTGAGCTTTCCTTCCCATACCCTGTGTACATACTGCTACAGTCAATGAAACAGAACTGAAGTAAAATGCAGCTACTACAGCTTTGATTTATCTCTTGGACGTGTTGACTCCACCTTGCTTTTTCTGAGTCACTGCTTTTCTACTGAGCTGTGTCTTGCCCTTGTCTTCATGTTTGTGTGTTATGTAAGGACGTACCTTGACCTGGCACAACATTTTTGGTACTTCCTGAACCAGTCTTCCCTATGGGTGGCCAACCAGCATCATCGTTCCATTTTTTTTCTCTCTGAGTTGTCTGTCTTCATCCTATTGTGTCTGATATGTTTAGGAGTAGCAACCTGGTCCACAAGGAAGAGTCCCTGCCTGTAGCAGGAGGGCTGGCACGAGGTGATCTTAAGGGTCCCTTCCAACCCAAACCATTCTATAATTCTATGATTTATTCTAAAATCTGTTGGGAGACATTAGGTCATGCAGTAACTGAGAAACGCAACGAGCGCTTCTTAATATACAAGATATACATGATGTTAATTCTCACTTTAATGTACTGTTTAAGACCTTATACTCCTTTCTAAAGAGCCTTTAATAGTAAAAAAAAAATTCCTTTTTTTATACTATTTTTGACCATTATGTCTTCACAACGATCTTTCCTTTTTAAAAGGATGTTAGTTGAGGAGTAAAATCAGTTGTGTGACAAGTTGAAAATGAATTCTTCTCTTTCTGCTTACTTTCTGTAATAATAGAGAGAGATTCAAGTACGATGGGAAGCCAACACTGAGATCACAGTCTGTGAGTCCTCTTCTCCAGAATGATGGTGATGACCTAGCAGCACCTCTGCCTGTAAGATGCTTCACCTTTTTCTAATAAAACTTACTGCAGTTGCAATGAATTGCTGTTATCTATCCCTGTGAAGCTGGTTTTTTTCAGTTGTGTGAATGTGTACAGATGCAGATATTAAGGAAGGAGTGACACAAAAGGACTAAAGTCGCAACCTGCCCTCTGCAGGTACATGGGGAAGATAACTTCTTATAGGATGTTCTCAAATCATCCTAAAGGTTGACCTATGTTTAGTGTTTAATGTCTACTGCGTTGTTAATCCCAGGCTTGGAAAATTGTATGTGTCAACATCATCTTGTAGTACAGCATGCTGCTGGTAACTGAGCTATTTGACTAAAGCTATCACGGGTACCATGACACAGTTAGGAAGAGTTTTGTAGGTACTGCCAAATCTAACAATGTTTTCTTTAACACTATGTCTCTGTCAACTCTTCTGATATTTTATTTGACTTTTTCTGTTCCAGGACCATCATCATAAGAAAACTATTTCTGTGGATGACAGTGACCTTGATGCACGTCTCAGTAGTTGGAATCTTGGGGTAAAAAAAAACCAAAACAACAGTGCAATACTTACTTATGTACTTGAAATGAAAACTCCTTATTCATGTAGTGTGCAACTTTGAATTTAGTCAACAAAATTTTATGCAAGGATCAGTCTTTTAGAAATAAAGTGGTAAAGCTTGGGAAGGCTAATTATGAATTAGCGTAAAAGGAAAACATTCAAATATCTTATTTTTAAGCAATAATAATTTGATTGTCCTTAATGTAATTATTCATAAGAAAAAACTTTCTGCTGATCAAAACTAAGTATCTTTTTCCAGTAGAAATGCAGACTATTTCTAGAGAACTTGATAATATTTGAATTTATGCTAACATAAAGAAGAGTTTGTTGATGTATTATTAATAGGTGACCAGATAATCCTAATTCTTTACACTATTGTCAGCCTGGAGTGATATGACAGAATTCTCAAGTCTTGGTTGTAACACTCAGTGTTTTGCATGAACGGCTGAGTTCTCTTCAGAAGAAGCATAAATGATAAGAGAATGTGAAGTCTTCTTGTGTCCTACTCAGTGTTTCTCCTGCTGTTTTGGTGAATTTTAGCATTCTAAATGTAAATTGCATGCTTTCTTTTCTTCTGAGAGAGAAGAAAGTCTTGACCTTGAGGCAATCCAGGAGCTGCCTGACTGCTTTCTCCAAACTGAGGGTGTAGATAATGAAAAGATTAGTCTGGGGGATTGCTATTGCTCCTCAGAGCTCTTTCCATTTTATAGAGTAATATAAGATTGATTTGTAGCAGTCCTCAGTTTAAAGAAGAATATATCCTTCAAGGATTGTCTTTCCTTGTTTTTTAAGTGAGAAGAGCTGATTTTCAAAAGCTTTTCAAGGGTAGTTAACTTCAATTTGTGAAATTGCTCTTCAGGTGACTGAAACAAATGTACCAACAGTCACTTGCAGATTCTGAATATTCAGGTTACATGAATACCTGAATTATATGGTTGTTACAATACCTTGAGCTCTTAAAGCTGCTGTAGGGGACTACTTGCATGTGGCCTCTTACAAATTATTCCAGTCGAGGCTGACAAAGAATCCCTGATATCAAGCACTTTGTTATTAGTGTTAATCTTCTTTCTTGCTTGTCCCTTTAATTCTGTTTTTTTGTTTGTTTGTTTGTTTTGTTTTTCTAATTGAAATTTCGAGTTGCTTTCATTTTGGGTTAATAATAGAGGGTTATTAAACTACAACAATCCTCCACTGATACAGAAAGTCTCTTGGATAACAGATTGGCTACAGTGACACACAAATCAGTTGTTTAATTACCATCAATGAGAAGAGACTTGAACCAATTGCTAGTGAGAGATTGTGATCATGTGGGGCTTGTGGGGGTTACAGCAAAAAGGATTTGAGGTCGTAAAAGAGAGGCCTCAAAGTGGTTGGAGTTGAACAGTGTATTCCTGCTATGGATCATGGCCTCCAGTGGATATCTAAAGTAATCTTATCTTTTCTGTACCAAGCAGAGGTCAAAGCCAAACAGGCTGTAGTTTGGATGTATTTGTTATTATGGGTAATAACATTTTCTACACAAAAAATCAGACTCTCGCATCACTTTGCTTTCTAGTATTGTTGCTTCTTGTGAGTAACAAAAGATTATTTTTTTTGCTTGCCTTGCAGCATTTCTGATTATCTCTATCAAACATTTTATTGTTTAAGCTCTTTATATTCTGGGCATGATTGGTTAAATGTCTTTTTTTAAAAAAAATTTTTTGATTGTGCTAAGTTTGCTTTCCATACATGAAATGCTAATGTTAACTAATGTTAAATACATTATAAAAATGTGTTTTTCTTAGCCCTTATTGACTCTTATCTAAGCTGATGTGGGCTGTGCCTTATGAAGTGTTAATGCCTTGAAGTTGCATTTGCAATGTAGAAAAGAAAAAATCCTTTTGTATTATTGTTTGAAGGGGAAGTTTCAGAGCTGGGAGTTCAGACAATTCAAGTAATCTTTGGCCATCTTGTTACTCTGAACTCTTGTCACTGTTTAGATATTTTAGAATATATTGAAAAATTCCTTAATTGTCTTTGATATTTTATTAACAGCTGTCAATAAGCTTTTTGTTGGAAATTCAGTATACATCGTGAACTGGGCATCCCCACATTCCCATTAGTTATGTTCAAGAAGTAATTAAATGTTGTAAAATGTGTGGTATTGTGAAACATGTGGACTAGCTGGTTGGCTAAAGCAGTTACTTGCCTTAGAAACTTTTTTTTCTTCTGAACTTGTAGGTTGCAGATAAACACAATTTTTGTATATAAAATTTAAGTCATGTCTAGGAGTAAGAATGAATTAAATACCTGTGTATTCTTATCTGAGCAACCTGTTTTTCTTTTCCTGATACTTCTGGTACCTGGGTAAGTAGCAGAGGGGGGTTTTTAATCAGGGAGAATGTCAGTTTTCCTTATTGAAATTCATCCAGGACAGGAGTTAACTTTTTCTAGAAGTGGTGTCTTCAGTCCTTAGTACCTGGGCACTCAGATCTTGCCCAGAAGAATCTATCCTGGGAAACGTTATGGCAGGATAAAGGTTTAGGAGTATCAAGGTCAAAGGAATTCTGTGGTCATCGGCCTGAAATTCATTCTCCTTGCTGAAGGAATTCTATATAACACAGGGTTAAAGCAGATGCAAACACAGAGTTCTTGGATGGCTGCAGCAGCAGTGCATGATATGTTTTGTGTACTTGGCTCATGCCTGCCTGTGTCTTTCCAGTCTAGTTCAGCTCAACCACTTCTGTACAAACCATTTTATTATCTTCTGTTTGGTTTTTTAGTCTTTCTGCTTACTATAAACATATCTACCGTATATGTTATGGTGTTGGAGGGCAGCAACGCTGTGAAAACTTTCCCACAGTGAACTCCAAATGGTGTTGTGACTTCAAAAAATAAATCCTACTTCCATGCTGACAAACAACCTCCATGTGCTTTAATGTTCTTCCACTAAGACTGCAGAAGCGGCATTAAAGTGAACTTCCCTACAAATTATGATGTTAGATAAGAATGTCCTTACTCAAATTTCCTGAAGCTACTCAGCAGTTATTTCTGTAGGGAACATGCTGGCTGGCTGGGTTTGTTAGATTAAAGTCAGAACTTAGGGCAAGGTTCAGTTTAGCTGTTTACCATTTCAAAATCTTAAGTGTTCTTAACTCTTTCATGTGTGTTTTTCCATCCTTGTTTTGAAAACAGTCGCATTTTGTCTTTGAAGAAGCTTACAGGGGGAATGTGCAACAAGCCTGCTGATCCAAATGTTTTTTTTCCTGCACATGAATATATACAACATACCTTCTCATTTGTTTCTGAGCTATCAGAAGATGCCACCATGTATTATTGAAAATAAATATACCGTGATAAGCATCTTCTGAAGAACAAAATGTGACTTGGGGAGAGGTAGAACGAAGCCTTGTTATGATGTTTACTGTGTCAAAAGAGCAGAAGCTGTGGTGTAAGACTGACAGAAGGTCTGTATGCTGCTCTCAGCTTGAGGATATCCTGTGGCAGGACTTAGAGCACAGAGGGAACAGGAGCACTGTCATTGCTTTTGTGAGAAACCATCTTAGCTCAGCTTACTTTCCCTATCAGTGCGTCACTCATTGCTTTAATTGCTGGCTTGTAAGTTCTGTGCTTTGAAAATGCATCCTTTTGGCTGCTATGTGCAATAGAGACTGGAAATGTTGGAGTTAAAAATTATGGCTTGTTTACGTCAAACTCAGTTTTGGATTTTGTGTTTTTATGCTGAATCCTTCATTATTTTTTTTTTTTTTTCAATGTATGGGGGGGAAAAGATGTTAACAGAAATAGTCTACTTTACGGGAAGTATTTTTTTATTCCCTCTTAATGGGAATCTGGTTATGTATAGCCCTCCCAAAGCCAAGATTTACTGGTTTATGGGGACTCAAGAACAAGAAGGTGACAGTGCCAGTCCTCACAAACTGAAAAATGGTTTCTTGTCTGACTGCCCAATAGAATAGGAGAAACAAAAGTCTTTGCTACAAAGAGATTCAAAATGTCATTTTTTATGAAGAAGTGGTATTTACAAATTTGAGTTCAATTCTAGTTCAAATAAAGATGTCTTTCATGGTGACATTTATTTGGTTCATACTCTTAAAAAAGCATGATGTGATTTACTGTTCTCATGGCAGTCCTTCAGTTTCATACATATGTATTTTGGTTTGTCTTTGACCTTTTGCTTATTATTTTTAAATTTGCATGTTTCTCATAAATACAAGCTTTTTTTCTTTTTTGGGCATTCTTTATTGTGATATTCCCTCTTTAATGTGGTATAATTTTGAGAACAAGAAGTTTTGCGGAAGGCCAGCATGAAAAGAATGGATGTCGAGACATTAAATGTTTACAGATCAGTTTAAGTGGATATAATCCACAACAAGTAACAAAGTGGGAACATTTAACTTCAAAGCACATATGGCTGCTGTTACAAAATCAAAAAATGAGGGACTTGGGCCATGCAAAGTATTGGAGACACATTTTCCTTCTCCCTTATAAACAAGCAAGATATACCAGAGTGAGCAACTTCGTGGTCGGATAAAGTATTTGAATTAATCATAAATATTTGCACCTTTTTTAAACTTAAAAGAAGCAAAAGTGTTTTTTTTAGTGGGTGCAGAGAGGGTGCCTTTATTCATTAAGGTCTACCCATGTTTTTTGCTGTGCCAATGACTGTGGCATATTTTTAAAGCAAAAAACATAAACCTTAATGTGAGACTTCTGTATTTTAGTAAACTCATTGGACAAGGGAAACGGCTTACTTAATAAACTACTTACCATGAGAAATACACCATTAAAATATTGGATAGTACTGTTCAATGAAACTGAAGGCACATGTAAAAAATGCTAATATTTTCAAGTACTTCTGGGTGAAATATGGTAACTTTAACAGCATATAGAAATCCTACCTAACCTTTTAGGGAAGGAGATGAATAGCACTGTATCAAATCAAAATTTCAGAGGGATTAAACCTCTCTCACCACTGATAAGTTCAACACAAAAATTTATTTAATAGTGCTGGAGAAAGTGCAAACATCTGATATATTTGCCACGCCTCATAGATCTATTTAATCTTTCTTGTTAAATAGACTAAATTTTATAAAATATGTATTGTAATCACATTCCAATTCCAAATCTCGCTGTCACGTTTTATGGGATTATACTCTTGAAAGCTTCTCCTGAGTTTTAGAGTCCCTGTGATGTGATGCTTGAGTCCCATCATCTGAGGAAAATTAAAAAGATACAGCTCTCTGATAGAGGAATTGGGATCTGAATGGTGTCCTGTATCCAGTTATTAAAAATAGTGATTGAAAGAGCTGCCTTAATTGTACAGTACTGCTAATGAATTATTTCCTTGTTTTGTCTCTGTCCTACATATGTGGATACAGTTTTAACAGTCACGTTTTTTCAAAAACGCGAGATTAAAATCACTGTAATCAGGAATATTCTCTAGCTTTACACTGATTTTAAATGGAATTTACCCAATAAAGTTCTTTTGGTAGGAACTGCATGTAGCAAATCCTATAAAACTGTTTAGTAGACTATTATCCAGCCAACCTTAAAGTCATTGGCTCATTTTGAAATTAAGATAAATGATTTAAGATATCAGGACTTGCATTAAAACCTTTCTCAAGCTTTACAATATTTATTACCAATTTGTTAGGTCTTTGGAAGTACATTCAAATGGTTTTCTTTAACCTTGCTGTTTTATTCTGTGTTTTTCTTTTCCTGTTTGTGAGAAATAAGACATTGCTGTTATGATTACATATTCTTTAACTTTGTTTTTCAGCTTGAAAATCCAAGATATTTACGGGAAAAACCAATCCCAGTGTCTTTGGTAGGTATTTATATCCCCTTGGTATTTTATAAGGGCAAGCAAACTTGCTCAGTAAATTTCCTTTCTGTTTAGGAATGATTCCTAGTCGGGGTCATTACTTTGAACTCAGAATCTGTTTTTTTTCTTATTCAATAGAAGACATCCAAAATTGGCCTAGGAAAAGGTAGCAGTTTCCAGGAAGACCCAGCACTGTTTCGAATGCACGAGAAGGAGGTAAGGTGCTATTTAGTCTTTTTAGGGTTACAGCTAAATTAGCAAGTTAGGGCATTTGTTTGTTGATTTGAGTATTCGCAGGGCAGCTTTTATACCAGAGAATCTGATGTATTTTCCCTGAAGTGGTAGGGTTTTCATTAAATAACGTATTTCTCAATTGCTTAGGGAATAAAAGGGACTTTCTGAATAGATGGACTAGACTTTTGGAGGAATATTTTGTGTTGGAAAGAGGGAAGCTAGGAATTTTCCATATTTTCCTCAGAGCAATGGATTTATGGAGTTAACTTTCTGTATGTCTTTAGAAATCCACAGATGTAAACCTGATTTCTATTAAATCCTACATTATTTCTGTTTCCCTCATCTAGCTCCAGTCCTCTTCATTTGCATTTTTATATTATTTCTTTTGAGGTTGTTTTTTTTTTTTTTTTTTTTTTTTTTTTTTTTTTTTCCAAGAATAATGATGATGATATAATGTGCCTATCTGAATCTCTCATATTCTATTATTTTGTTTTGAGCTTTGGCAGTATTTTTGTGGCCATTCCTTTTTTCTTTTCTTTTCTTTTTTTTTTTTTTTGGTAGTTCAAAACCTGAAAATAAGCTGCATTTTTCTGGTATTTTTGCCATAATCTAATTTAGTTTAAAATCAGCCATTTAAAATCAACCACGAGGTAGAACTTGAACGTAAAGCATTTAGGACATAGATTCTTCTGCAGTCTTATAGTCATCACATATTATTGGGAGTGGTCTGGCAGACCAGGCTTCAGGAAGTCAAATTCAACATGTATTAGGAGGAAAACAAAACTAAAGCCCAGTCTTCTTTCCCTCTTCAAATCCTTCAACTTTCTGTTTTTAGTCTTATGTTCTTGGGAAGTCAAATCATGTATATGCAGGGAACCTGGTATCCAAAAGTCCTTAGACACATGTAGGACAGGTATGAGATGGAAAGGAAGAGGTGTCAACTGGAAACTGAAATAATTCCTCCTTTGCATGCATGGTGTGTTGTAAGGGCACCTATGAATTGGAACTGTCCTAAAGCTGATTTCAAGAGCGCTTTAGAAGGCACAGGGGAGGTTATATTTGCTTTGCAGATGCTTTTGTTGTTATGTAGTAATGTATATGTAATATGTAATGTACATGGGAGTTTGCTCTGTGTTGGTAACTGGGAATCTAATGTGATGCTTAAATAAGCAGCCTGACACAGTGTATTTCACTTTCTCTGCACTGTTCAGATATTCATTGTTCTTTCTCACTGACAGCATTCAACCACCATTGCCTCGGGATGAGGCACGACAAGGTTTCACAAGATGTGAAAATAGACTAAAAAAGAAATAACTTGTAAGCACATTGTTGTCATTTAAATAATGTTTTCAAATTAAATGAACAGGAATGCATGCCAAGTTGCTGCACAAAATACTCAGTGAATGATTTTCTAGTTCTCTGGAAAAATCCTTCAAACCACGCAGTAAAAATCTGGTACTTGCTAAAGTTGCTTTACTGTGGGGTAGTTTAAACAGGAAAAGTTGTGAAATACTTTTATAATCACTATGTGTGTGCTATTAAATGGAAAACTTAAATGTGTTTTCTTCTTATTTTGTGAAGCTCAGTGAAGAATAAAGCCTTTTCATTTGTAGAATATAGTTGCATTAACAGGAGAGAGAAAAGTGCCATACCAGAGTTTGTAAACCTTGAGCTGTTTTCAACCTCTTTGTAGTAGGACAGGAGAACATAAAATAGGATAACTGTGGTTTTTGGCTTTTAACCTTTAGACCTTTGTTCATAAACCATTCCTGCACCTGTTTTGACTCTGTAATGCTAAGCACATGGCTATTTTCTATGATAGCCACATCACAGTTTTATGAGAATGTGATCATCGTCAGGCAGTGGTTTTTAGTAATGTTTTCCCCAAATATTTCTGATATGGATTAAACCATTTGGGAAGCTGCCATTGCTGTAGAATCCTGGGTTTAAACAAGGAAGATGCAACAAAACAAATACATCAGTTTCCAGCAGTACAGCAAAACAGAACGGATTGCACGAGGAGCTTATCTTGATAAACAGGGAAAAGCTTCACTTTAAACCTCAGCTTGGGTCATCCTGGGTGCTGCTCAGTGCTCCGCAGAGTGAAGGAAGGCAGAAGAAATTCAAGTTATCAGTGGTTTTCAGAAAAATAAAGGCAACACGGCTGCTAACATTCCATTTTTAAATACTTTTGGGATTTAAAAGAAAAAATAAATTTGTTAATGATTTGTTAAACCTTTCTCAAATAACTAGCTTACCTGAATAATATATCCTTCAAAGAAGCTTTGACGTCTACTTAAAGAAGCTCCATTTCTTAATTTTTCAGTTTGGTCAGTCTTAAAATGAACAAATTCCTAAGAAAAATTGTTTTAAGCTGAAGTTTACCAAGATCACTAGGAGTAAATCGAATACTGAGTGCTATACACCAACTGTATTGTTATTAATACTTTATTTCTTGGTTTACACAATGTTAGTGCTTTGTGCAATAACTACTGCAAAGCGTCATCTGTCTGGGATAACTGAAAACGTTGAGGCTTTGCAGTATTTTTGATGACTTTATCACTTTATCCAGTGATAACGTTTGGATTTTGGAGTACAGATGCTTTCCCAGCTTTCTGTATCCCAAAGCAATGTGGCAGAAGTGGTCGTGTTTTCATCTGGAGCAGTGTTGAGTTGTGCAACTGAAGGGAGGAGTAGTTGTGGGGAGGTCGAGGGTTGAATTTCCAAGAGGATATGGAATATCTGCAGGATAATTTCCCCCAATTTGTTACATGGAGTGAGGACTGAAGAAGAGAGAGTGAAGAGCTGAAAGATGAGCTGAATAATGAAAGGCACCTGAGAGTGCCAGGAATGGGGAAAACTTCTTTCTCCTGGAAATGCGTTTTAACTGATTGAGGACTGTATGAAAGCCAGGAAGGAAGAACGTGTTTGTTTTCTATCTTTTCAAGAATTGTTTAAATTAGTGATGTAGAACTTTTGTCTTTTAAACTTCATTCATGTTCTTCTCCTTTATTTGTGAATAAACACTCAAATCTTGTTTGAAAAGGCCATCAAGCCGTATATATAGTTCTGCTGAGACAAAATTTCTGGGATTTATTCATACGTACATGCTAAGAGAAAATCAGCATGCTGCAGTGTTGATCTGGCTGAAAGTGTTCTGAATGTAAGGTGCTGAAAGCAGAAGATTTACTGTGCTTCTCACTTATCTGGCAGGAGGTTGTACCTTGAAACTGAGGGTTGTTAAGGGCTGTGATGTAGAACATTGGATGTAGTGAAAGAGAAGGCAGGGAGGAAAGTAAGCTGTAGAATTTGGGAGGTATTATCAGTGAAGGGAGATGGAGTTTTAGAAATAAATGAGTAAATGACGTGGCAATAATGTATGTGCCACTGCAGTTAAAAGGAGATGGGCATGCTGTGTTTGAATGAATCAAAATATCAGATCAGATTAGGAAATGATTAATCAAGAGCAGTGAGACTGTGACTGTAATGTCAACAGCAGGTGACATTGCTTTCTCCTTTCTTCAGTTCTACGAAGGGATCAGTGGCATTGTCCTTCTGGTTTTGATTTCTTCCTCTTAATTGCTTTGTTCTATGCTGAAGTACTTAAATACATGAATGAGGCACTTAATGCATGCCAGAAAAGAAACAATAAATAAAACTAATATGGAGACAGTATTCTAAAAGAGGGATACTCGTAATTAAATTAAGCTTGTACTGATGTAAAATTAACATTACTTTGCTCTGAGCTACAGCATGGATTTGATATTTTTCCTCATTGAAAACATATTTTGTTCATATTTTCCAAGAATGGCAACAGAGTCTATCAGTACAGTTCTTTTACACTATAACAAAGCCCAACTCCTGATAACGTGGGGAGGGAGGAGGTCAGGTTTCCCTATGACTTCAGATGCAAAATTTCAGGACCTGGACCTCGATATTCACTGGGACCTGGCATTTGGTGGAGTCCCCCGAAGGTGTTTGAGCAACACCGAGATGTGGCACTGGGGACACGTTATGGGGATGGCTTGGGGTTGAACTTTGTGATCTTAGTGGTCTCTTCTAACTGTGATGATGCTACGATTCCCCATGCAGGGACGTGGTTCAGTGGGGATGGTGGTGATAAATCAACGGTTGGACCTGATGATCTTGGATTCTATTCTCACTTGTATTAATTTACTGTTTCCCCTTCTTTTGTCTCCCTGTTAATTCAGTCATTCTGTTCTTAAACTCCTGGCTGTTTTCAAATTGGTAAAATTTGTTAAGACTTTTAATTATGGTGGATATTCTTGTTAAAATGTCTGAATGTTCAGGTGTGGCCCGTAAGAGGCAAGAAAATCCAAAAAGGCAGATAAGACACAGTCATCTTTTCTTTTTTTACTTCTCCATAAAGTTTCTTGTGATAACTTGGGTAAGAAAATATGTTTATTTCCCTTTAAAAATGTTCCAAGCAGTCAGTATTGTGACTTCGAATGTTTCAATTCAGGTTTTTTTTCTTTATCCACAAACCTGATGTCTGTTTTGAATTCAGTGTTTGATTTATTTTGAGAATTGAGTTGTAAACTGACTCTCACTGCTTAGTTATCATTCTGAGCAGCGATCTGTTCGTTCACATTTAGAAATGCAGCAATCTTGACTTCTGTTAACATGATTCCTGACTGATTAATGTCCTGTTCCTAAGAACATATGCAAGTTGTCCATTGTCTTCTGTATGAGGAAATCACATCCTGTCTGCTTTGATAATTCCTTAGAATGTAATGTAATAAAACCCAAACCTTATTTTATTGCTAGACTGGTGTGAGACATACAGCGTATGTCAGGATGAGACATGTTTTCATAAGCTGACTTGTGATTTATAATTCCCAATACTAATTGGTCTGGTCATAGAGATATATATGTACGTGTGTGTGTGTGTGTGTATTTATTTGCTGCAGTTTGTGAACTATGTCTTTAATTATTGCACATATGTGCTGGAGACATTGAGA